CCCCAAAACCCCAAAACCCCAAAAGTTAAAGTTTGATGAAATTTAAAGATTAATGTGGACATAAATTTATTTTATTTTATTTAGTGAGTATTATTAAGACTTTGTTGTCAATTTGTTGAAATTTGTATGATCATCTCAAGAATGATAACTTTCATTCATTTAACTTTATTTCTGGAATTTCTAATTGATCCTTTTCGAATTTCAACTTTAAATCTTCATTATGAGTCTATTGACAATTGATTTCATTGATCTACTTTAAGTTATTATCACTTTTTGTTTATGCAGAATTTAATCCTTATGTTACAACCAAATATCGAGGTGATTGCAAGTAAACTTTCTATCTTGATTATTATTAATAGTAGAATGGCAAAGGCACTACCTTTTAAAGTCTAGGATTTGATTAATTCAAGTAACTTTCAGTGTTGTTAAACGCTTCAAATTATGAATCTATCATGTCTAAGTGTGAGTTGATAGTCAAGAAAATATGATTGCTATTATTTCCTTAATGGATCTAGCTTAACTCCATTACTTAATTACTTTGGGTACCCTAAATTATTTAATTTTTATCATCTTCTTATTTTCCTACTATCCCTCGTTTTATGGCTTCATTTAGTTCAGAATGTTTTTCTTTGTATCTAGGGGTGCTGTTAAAGCAGTCACAGCATTCATATTTTTAGCTTACTCTACCATTTTTATACTTGTATTTTTTCTTAACCCCTATTGTAAAGCAGCAACAAAAAAGACATACAATTCCTCCAGTTTGGATTAAAGCAAGTACCCATGACTATAGAACAGTATTAGGAATATTTCCATAACTTTCATATATATAGTCTACATTTTAATTTTTATTGACTTAATTGTTCTAGTTTGCTGCTATGGGAATTTAGATTTATTTTTTTTAAGAAAGAAATGATACATCTTCAGCCAAGGAGCTATTTCCTTAAGAATTTTCTGCAGTAGAATTTTAATCATCAGAAATGGATTCATTTGCAATAGATTGAAGAGATCTTTAATTTGTTTAACTCTAATCTAGATTTATAACCTCATAATTTTTTGATAATTGTTCTAGCTTATCGCTACTATAATTATAATGTTTCATGTTCATTTTTTTTAATTCGATATTGAGTAAGTTTTTTGTGTCTTTAATTTATTTGATTTGGTCTGAGATGTTGAGAGCATTTTGTTGATATCCAAATTAGAGAAATGCAAAAACTAAGAAGAATGTTTTGATTCTAATAATTGTATTTATTTGCATTTTGAAAAGCTACTTCAATTAATAATTAAGAATTTATCTATTATAATTGGATGAGACTTTTAAATCATTGAAACTAACTTAGATTAAAGAAATTCACCAATTATTATTTTTATATTTTGAATAACTCACTCATTGATTCCCATATCATCTTAAGGGGTTTTGGGGTTTTGGGGTTTTGGGG